GAAGCTAGCAGAAGAGTGCTGCGCGAACAAAGTTTCGATATTCAGCCGGATAGGGATGTGATTGTGCCAAAAAACAGACCCCTTCCGTATTTACACGTGTGAGAAGAGACACGCAGGAAGTAGATCGAATGATGACTGGAGCTATCTGCAACTGCTGGCAGAGTAAATATTGCTTTTTTCCCTCTAAACAGTTGCGGTTAGTACCATCAGCTCAGGACCCAGAAAACCTGGAAAGCTGGAATTTTCAGGGGCTGTTCCCAGTATACGTACAATTTAAGGGTTTCAAATGCAACCGTTAGGTATGCGTGGCGTTTGCGTGCGGGCCCTTTGGCGGGGAAATCGCTAATTCGGGGGCAGGAGAAGTTGGACGACTGGGATTTCAAGGGAATGCTTCCAGCCTATGAACATTTTAATGACTTTAAATTCAGCCTTCAGGTGCATGCGGTTATCACGCACGGCGCCGTGAAAGTTTGACAGGGGAACTGTTAAGTCGGGGACCAGAAAAGCTGGAAAGACGAGGTTTTAACGGGGTGTTCCCTGTCCAAGTACCACACAGTTGCACAACTTCCTGAACTTCAAAGACAATATGTCATAAAACCTAGGTACTGGGTTTTTTTCGCATGTACATATATTTCTGTGAGTCCTCGCCACCATCATTCTCCCTCATTCCTTTCCCTGTCACGAAAAATATTTTGATAAATTTTCGTATAATCATCGTGCTTGCCTGTAATGCCACTGATACTAAGACCGACCAGATAGTCGATATGGTGATCCGATGTTACTGCTGTCACTCGAATGCTCTCATACCCCGAGCTCAGAAGTTATGTGTCAGGTCTGTTGCACCTGTACTGGGATGTATGATCCAGGAGAATATCTAGGACAACACGTGCTTCGATTTGACGCCATTTCATCCCAAAATAACTTTATCCCAAAACAGCTGATAGCGCATTACTGGTAAACTGATTAATAAAAAACAAATAGTATCATTGAGATGAGGCACCCATATTTTGACGTCCGAGGAGTTTTAGTAGAGTTAGCAATTGCTTGTTCCCAGCTTTTAGAAGCATTTATTCAAGATTCCCAAGAAGCGGCATTTGATCGCCTTTGAACAGCAGAATTTGAATTTTTATGGTTTCTCGCTTTGTGGATTTTCTGAATTTCTGGCGTCGGTTATTCGTCTTTTTGTCGCAAGTGCTGCACTTGTTTTCTCACCAGTATGAGTTCGCATGTGTCTTGCAAGTGTCTTTTCCGGCCGAAGCTCGAATTGCAGAGGTCACATTTGAACGGCTTCTCTCCAGAATGAGTTAGCATGTGTTCCTTCAAGTGCGCTGTTTGAGCGAAAGTCGAATTGCAGTGACAGCATTTGAACGGCTTCTCACCAGTATGAGTTCGCATGTGTCTTTGCAAGGTTTGCTTCAGCCCGAAGCTCGAACTGCAGATCTCGCATTTGAACGGCTTCTCACCAGTATGAGTTCGCATATGTGTTTGGAGGGTTGATTTCTGCGCAAACCTGGAATTGCAGTGACCGCATTTGAACGGCTTCTCACCAGTATGAGTTCGCATGTGTCTTCGCAAGTCTGTTTTCCGGCCGAAGCTCGAACTGCAGAGGCCGCATTTGAACGGCTTCTCACCAGTATGAGTCCACATGTGTTCCTTCAAGTATGCTGTCTGAGCGAAAGTCGAATTGCAGTGACAGCATTTGAACGGCTTCTCACCAGTATGAGTTTGCATATGTGCTTGGAGGGTTGATTTCTGCGCAAACCTGGAATTGCAGTGACCGCATTTGAACGGCTTCTCACCAGTATGAACTCTGCAGTGCTTCCGTAAATTTCCCGTTGTTCCGAACGTTTTATTGCATTGTATGCAAACGTGTGGCCTCTCGCCAGTGTGCGTCCTTAAGTGAATTTTCAAGGGTTCGGCAGCACGAAAGGTTTTACCGCAATAGCTGCATATGAATGACCGTATACCACTGCGAGTTTTGTTTCGGTTATGACCAGCACATTCAGTGCTTCCGTTTACTGTAGCCGATGCTGCCGAATGCCTGCTCGGGACGGGCTGGTGGCTATCAGTGCAACTGGCTGTATCGTCCTGTGTCTGATTCTTCAGCTCGGTTGGGCTTGCAAGCTGAAAAATCGTTGAGAAGCAATCATCTTTGAATTAACGCCGAATAGCAGCCCACCTTTAACTCGAAAAAAACAATTCAAGCTCTTGGTTAAAGAGTTTTATCCAGAGTTAATTCATACTCTCCTTATTTCCCATTTTATTTATTCCATAGCTTGCGGGAATGGTGCAGTGAAAAATACCACTTTGCTATCGCTCTGAAGATGACGATTTCGATTCCGTCAGTTAGACAACCAGTCTTTCTACGATTCGCACATCACCTTGATGATATTTGGTGTTGGCATGCAAGGAAGTCAGTTCCGCCACTAGCTTGCTTCTAAGTAACCCTCCTAGACGGAGCTGTCAACATTTCTGAGGAAACTGCCGACAGAAGTACTTCCAACTGTTCCCGCATTTCCAACTGTTCCCGCCGAAAGTGCATGCGGAGGAAGATGTAATTACTTTTATTATTGTTATTATTACCACTATTGTGCATTATTATTATTTCTTTTATTTATCATTGTTTCCACGCCCCTGTTTTCTATCTTTAGGCACTGGCCATTCTTTCTTTAACCGTTTAAGCAACTTTCGGGAAACTGGGACAAATTAAAAATTCGAATGAACGCCGTTGTTTACGGCTGATGGCCACAGACCTCACCTTACTCCAATTTTTCCACTTTCATTATGCAAGCGGGAATAACTCAGGCTGGAACACACCAGGCTTTCCGGTACGATCATGCGTTTTTGCACTAAACTAGCAGATCGCTACTTGCAGGAATGATCCCTACGCTCTAACTAACACTTGGGTTCATATTGGCCATGCTTTGGCCCTTTTCGGCATACAGGAGAAAGGGCGTCAGTTGAGATGAAGGTGGTGCATTATAGAGCCGCACGGACATCCAAGTGCATAATTACCCTGTTTTTTTTATGAAATTCGGCCGGTTTTTCGGTAAATGCTCGCTTTGTGAAAAAATGACATGCAAATTTTTTGAAAAAATGCAAATTTCAAATCAAATGAAGAGTGAAAATGCTGCTTGAGCGGTCGTTTGTCATAAAATCCAAGCATGCGAATGAACTGAGTGTTCATTTACATGTTTGGATGAAGACAGTCGTTCAATGCAAAACGCACTCGTTTTTGATTTTCCGGTGAAATAATAGACCAACAGGACTGTACGCAGGTGCAAACTTTCTTTATCCTTTTGGTCCTTTAGAAATTAAGTATTTATCCTTTAGAAGTTGAGTATTTCTCACGCTGATCTGCAGGGGATTCTACCTCCAAGCAGAATTAAGACTTTGCATGAGAGTGGAATATTCCAGCGAATTTTCAGCCTCGCAGCTTATCTGGAAAGCGGAACATCCACTTCGCTACAAATATCTTCGAAGTGCTCTAAGTCGTGCCGTAAGTGCAATTCGGTTCTCATTTTAGGTAGTCACTTTCCCATGCAGGCAACAAACACGCTGGCGAAATTTCAGCCACTGTTTTTTGGCAAGTTTTCGAGCTAGTACAGTACCCAGGTTGCAATTTCGACGTGATCCTATGCGCTTTACAAGCGCGCTCGACAGCTGAGTTTAAAACCTTCAATTCGCACGTGCATAGAGAATATCGCTGCAAAGTTTCAGCTTTCTACCCTGCTTAGTTCGCGAAATCATTCCCCGCCAAAGAAATTTGCATATTCTTTGGGAGGCCCGTACGCAACGTCTAGGCGTGGTGGAGGAATGTCTTGAAACGAGAGGATGATACATGGAGTAGGAACACATGCTCAAAGTTGCAACCTTCCAGCTTTCCTGGTTGCTGAGATGAAACTGGGTGACAAAATGCACTCGCTTCTGAACACACACACAGACAGCTTTATGACAATATGCGTTTTTACTGGCTGTAGCAGCGCTATGGCGCTGCACAGCAAAAACGCATAAAAAGTAAAGTGACTTGGAGAGCTAGCGTATTTTGCGGTACCAAGCGTTCACATTTCCGTAGAATGTATGCTCTTTTCGATGGAATTGAGTGACCCATTCATGCACTAGCGACTTGTAAGGATGAAAGAATTAGAGTGAATGATAGTAACTTCCTTCAACACCCACTAAAAGGACAAAAATTTTCTGAATAAAGCAGGAGCTGCAGTTTGAGCTTGGGAGTAAAGATTCAGCTGGGGACGAATTGCAAAACTGAGTGGAAGGAGAACAAATTTTGTCTAAAAGCTTGAACCGTGCCATGAACCAGATTGATAGGCATTCACGGACTGCAGTTCTGGAAAAAAAAGTTTGCCTAGGGCCAATCTATAGCAAAAGCTGGGCAAAATAACTTATCTGGACCCGACAAATGCCGTTGCTGTGGCAAAAAGGTACCGTTACGGATGGTTTCATCATCTAAATCTATATAAAAAACACTGTTTCAAAAGATTACCGCGCCTTTGGCGATCATCGACACCATTTGCATCAACAGAATGGATATCAAAAATACTGTCATCTTGGCGGAGCAGCACCGAGTTATCCAGTAAGCTGGGACCGGTTCTTTCCTTTGCATTCTCTTTGACGAAAGCATGAGACGCTTCTTCATTTCCATCCACGCCAGTGACACGCCGTTGTTTCAGCACCTAAATTCACAGATATAAGGCGTAACAAACGTTTTCCAGACCTGCCCTAGCCCAGGCCGGAATCCACCAAGCGAGCCGGTGCGATCATACGCTTTTGCACCAAACTCGAAGCAGCTAGGTTTACTGCATGGATGATTGTTTCTTCACATCTACCCTGTGCGCTCAATATCGTAAATCATCGTAAATTTTGCATAAAAATAAACAATTTCCGCTTAGTGGTCGTTTTTATGCGTTTTTGCCTATATGCAAATTGCAAAAACGCATATTGGGACGACCCTGTC